ATATGTCTAGGAGAGGAAATTTCCTAAACCCTATTTCTTAAACACTAAGCTTTGCTTGGGGATTGAGAAGAAAATGCTAGTCTAGGATCCAAACACACCCTTTGTTTCCATTTCTGCTTGAAATTGTTTTTGAGTTTCCATGGTAACAAACAACCTAATACAACAATATCTTCAAACCAAACAGTAAAATTAAATTAACCTCTGCCAATAATTCCCATTCCCACTTCCCACGTCAGCAATCAAACAACTATCCATTCATTTTGATTTTGAAACCTTATCTGATGGTTTGCATGTTTATATTCTTTATTCCCTTTTCTATTTCTAGAACCCTCTTGCTTTGGTATCATAGGTGATTGTTAGTGTATTGAGTGGTCAATCTTGACATTTGTTGTACATAGATTATGACACCAACCAACCAAACAGTAGTGTATTGAGTGGTGAATGCACTACTGTTTGGTTGGTTTGGTCAGGACATTTGATGTACATAGTACATAGATGGTGACTTTCAGCAATCAAACTACTGTTATTTTTTCTTTGTTTGGTTGGTTTGGTCCCTGCGGCAGTTCATGTAGCTGTTATGGTCCCCAGAAAAAAAATATCAATAGTTTTCCATTCTCTAATACATGAGTACATGTCTGGGAAGGAATGTTCAACCGTTGAGGAACATTGAATGTTGGATGTTGGCTGAGAACCAATGAATTATGATGTTTAATTGTCGTAAACTTTTAGCTTGTAAGACTTATGGTAATCATTCAATGAAAACTGACCAAAATTTTCAAATGTGGACTAGCCTACCGTATGGTTGAGTTCAGGCTGAAACAGCATACAATACTTTCATCCTACCTAAGGACCTTGTTTCTTTCATCCTGCCTAAAGCTAAAATAGACTTGTGGATGAAACAGACAGGGACTGAGTTCCCAGAGTTTTCTGAAGTCTCATCACAGTCAGGAACATATGCCATCGTTACAAAGTTGATGTGTTGGTACTCTGTACCTTGAAATTACAAAGCTTTATAGGACAAGTCTCATCCAGCATGCATGTCTAAGTTCAAGAGATCATCCTACAATTACCAAGGCCTTGATATATTTAGTAATATTAAGAGATTGTTGTTTTCCAGTGTTACAAGCAGGCATAATTGATTTTAAATATGTTCCATGTTTTGTAGCTCTCATGAGTGCATATTTACTTTAGGTTGGAACTGGTGAGAGCTTGGTCCCCAATTGACATGATGCAGCCCATTTAATTATAAACAAGACAACTACACCAACAAATGGTGGCCCTTGTAATCTTCCTGTCTTCTTGCATTCTTTTGGTTTCATATTCGTTCCTTGCTTTAAAATTCTTATGGGTGCATCATTTATGGGTGCATATTCACTAGAGTTTTGATTACTGTTAGGCACAAACCAGAGGCATGTTTCTCTTAGTTGATGGGATAATTTACTGCTAAAATTTAAACTTGACTAAAAGTTAAATTGGTTAGAGGCATTTGTCGCACTTAGGCGCAAATGAGGCCTAGTGCTTTAGATGATAACTCATACTGTACTTTAGTTTTACATAACTTGTCTACACTTTCTGAATCCATGGTTATAAAAGTAAAAAACTTAAGTGAAAAAAATTTGTTATACTAGTCTCTTGCTTACTGTTTCTAAACAAAGGTGTCTTGACCTTTTTACTGATATTTGTACTGTTTTTAAGCTGAAAAGGATCCTGATTGTCTAGTTAAAGAATAGTAGTATTATTTTTAGATGCCGGGCCTCATTAGCAAGCAGAAGCTGTTTAGTTAAATTGAATTGGTTGGTTAATGAAATTTAGAGCACAAGCATCTTCCTTTTTTTTCTCAGAGCACAAGCATCTAATGCTCACATGTATGGGTACAAGACTAGTTAAGCAGCAAGGTGCTAATGGGGAGCAACTACGTCTTGTCCTTGAAGCTCTGAACCTGATCAGGGATTCACGGCAGTGCCCAGCAGTGATGCGGGCCTTGCCGATGAGGCTGTGATGTTGGCCCCGAACTTGAAATTTAGTAGTAACTTTAAGACCTATTTATACTATATGGTTCCATTCACCAGAGTTTTGCTGAACCACAAATCCATGACCTTGCATTATTGTTTGAATTTTGAACATGAATCTTCACTGCCTCCTTTGTATTGAAGACATGTTTTACTCACTTGTGCAGCATGAAGGATGTTAGCAGCTCAATGCCAGTTGATCGCAGTTGACAGCATCAGGTTTGTCAACTCTCTATTCTTCACATTGCAGCAACAACATCATCTCGATGGTCGCACTGAGCTTTATAGAATGCTTTGCATGTGTGTTGACAGTAGCACTAGATCAATAGCAGCATGTGCTGTTTTTCTTATTTAGTCTTTGGTTTAATTTCTCTCTTGTTTAATTAATTAGAGCATTTATTAGCTGGCAGATTAGTAAGTTAAATCAATTAGAGCATTTAGTAGTCGGCAGATTAGTTAGTTAAATCCATTATTTCCCATTAATTATGGTTGCTTCTAGATTTGGCAGGGAACAGAGGAGGCGGAGGTGGGAGGAGGCGAAGAGGAGGAACCAAATCTCGGAGGGGAACAGAGAGATTTCTTTGGTGGAGGAAGGAAGGGGCAACAGGCGGAGGTTAGAGGTATGGACACCCATCTGTTCTTGCTCCTAGATTTGGCAGTTTGTTTTTTCAGTTTATTCTTCTCTGTTGGTCATTTGTGACCGCGAATGGGCGTTCCATTCTTGGTCCATGTTTGCGGGCGCCACTGGCGGTTCTAGCAGCTCTGGTCATCCATCTCCTAGGATCTGCCTTTTCTTGGTAAGAGGCGCGGACCATTCGCAGCTAGGTTGGGCCTGTTCTTCGCGCGGGTCAGTGGCGATTTCAGGAGCGTTTCCTAGGTTCTTGACGAAGTTGGCATCATTCTGCGAAAGATGCGCTCTTTCTCTGAGTTTGTGTTCATATTTTTAGTGATTTAGTCAACCTAGAGGCTAGAGCATTTAATGGAGACGGGGATCCCGATCTTCCGTCAGGTGATGGTAACTATCGTTGTGGCGGAGAATGACACACCGATCCGGCTTCAGATCAAAAGATCGAACCCTGCAATCTTAGCACCACAGCTCCTCTGGTTATCAACCGAGTCATGGACCAGGTTGACCTCGCCAAGAAGGCTAATCCCTGCCTGCGCAACGAAGAACACAAGCAAGAACAAGAAAGAACGCAACCAAATTGCAAATGTATGATTAATCTCACGAGTTGGGGTCTCACAAACCGAAGAACGGCGAAACTGTTTCTTGACAGAATAATCTAAGCAAAACCCCAACCCTAATAGAGGGGTGGCGACTGTTTATGAAGACTCTACGGTCGTGCAAGACCCCTGGACGCGCCCCTAATGGGCCCAAACTCGATACATGTTCCAACGGACCAAAAGACGGTGTCGCAGCACCCTGGCAGATTCTGGACGCTAACTTGTTTCGACGATTCCTGTTGATTCCGAACAGCTTTTGACGTGAAACCACTTGGATTGTCTTCCTTATCAAAATAGCTTTCCATCCATATGTGGATCATCGAAAATGGAGTCCGGATGCGTCCTGGGCGTCCATTTTATTGCAGACTGGTCCTGACAGCCGAGGCAGACTCGAACTCGGATTGGACTGGGCCTCTGGCTTGGCTTGGACGTCCTTGCTGGCCTCCTAAGGTGGTGGCCAAGGAGGAGGACGTCCAAGGCCATCTCTTAGGTGTTCTCCATCTTCTTGGGGCGTGCTCCAACTTGGGCCTGGGTCCCAAGGATATCTAACAAGCCCATGACGACAGTGTAGCTCCCGCCAGAAATAGCGACAGAATATATTGCTGATTTGGAGGCTTTGCCGACGTGATATTGAGATGGGACCAGATCTATTTGAAAGATTATCAAACAAGCTTTCCATCAAGTGCTCATTGACCTCGATCGCACTTCGGAAGGATGAGTTATGGCCTTCCCAATGAGGCACTATCGGGCTACCGATGAACCGAAAGTTCAACTTTGATGAACTTGCATGTTGAGACATATTTGTACCTACATTCAAATAGTGACATGTACATGTGGAACCAAGTGAATTATAACCAAAGCCACTATGCAAATATAGGAACGAGCGCACCTTATAATCATTGTTCGTATCTGAAGGTGCCATGTCCTCATCAGCATTTGCGCAGATCTCATGACTTCTGTTCCTCTTGTCTATCGGTGCATAGGTTCTGCTCTAGGCTTCCATGCGAAATGAAATCCATCAATTAGTGCCCAAGCCATCAATTCTTTGTGGATTTGCTTGTTCCCCTTTGTTAAAGGCTCAGAAAGATGACTGAACAGATTTAGAGGGGGTCCTACATTAGGATTATTTGCTTTGACTTTCCAAGAGTTAGGAGCATGTTGCCTTGATATGCTTGGGTTCTTGCCGAGGCATATGCAGCCGAGCTTTTTTTTTCTCTTCCATTCTAAGTTAGACCATTTAAAAGGGGAAAGCTTTGCTTCACAAATGAACATAGCATCTGTATCTTTACGAGTATCTGCCAGTCTGGCTTTATATGTTTAGAGAGGAGGGTCAAGATAAGAAAGCCTTTCGATTCCACGGCTAAACTTTGGTACAGTAAACATGAATGACTTCGTTTTATGATGTTTTGATAAGCCATGAGCGGTTCTTGCAATGTGTGTCAACTATTAGGTGATTATGTGCTCTATTTTCTGTCGGTTGCCTGCTTGGCTCATGACTTAGCCATGTTTGCAAGTATAGGACGAACTTGTTCTCATTTCTTACATTTTACCTATATTCGAGGGATGGGTTGTACTACTTGTTAACAAAAAGTTTAGCTCGTTAGACATTAAGCCTCTGTCGCTACGAAAGATGCTGGCATTGCAATATCTAGAACCATCCCTCTGATCGATTTGTTTGTTAATCCACTTATAGGTAGCCCGATAGATCTGCTGCTATTGGGGGAGTTGATGCAAAGCTGAATTGTTGCACGTTGGATTTCTTTAGGGATGGCTTCAGCTGGTGTAGCCCCTTCTGGGTACAAGAACAGCAGTAGCCCTAGCATTGGTGTGGAGAATTTGCAAGATCAGATGAATGAGATAAAGATTAGAGATGATAAGGTGAAGATGTAATGACATCTTGTTTTAGGCTTACTGTAATTTCTTCAAGATTATGTGAGAAATGGACCGTGCTATAACATTTGACGTGAATGCCAATTGCAGGAAGTGGAAGCAACCATAATTAATGGGAAAGGGACTGAAACTGGGCACATAATTGTTACTACTACTAGTGGCAAGAATGGTGTTTGGAGCAATTAGTGCTTGACTTTGATGGATGTGATGTACAAGACAAATTGGATGTTATATGTATTGAGCTGCATGTGATATGTGTTTGTGTATCTTCATGTGACATGTGGACACTATATGAGCATTGAATATCATTTTGATATGTGCTAAAAATTGTATTTTTTCTATATTAAATTGTTCTGTTGAATAGTCTATCGCTGTAAATGTATGGAGTGTTGGATGATCTGACGGTGAATGTGTGGTAATAGATTATCTATCGCTAAAGAGTGGCAACAGGCTAACTGTCGCCGTAAATATTCACTGCAACAGACCATCTAATGCTAAAAGTACCATATGACGCTAAAGATTTTTAGCGATAGGACTTATAGCGTCTACGCAAGTCTGTCGCTGTAACTTTTTAGCGTCAGTTCATCAGTCGCTGTAGCCGCTTTTAGCGTCAGATTGTCCATCGCTAATCTTGGTGTTGTGGTGTAGTGTTAGTTGTATAAGCTCTGTTCATGATGTATTTTGACCTTGTTATTTGTTGAATCAGATTTTGGTGTTAATAACAAAGTTTTAGATAATTTCATTAGCTTTCTAGAAAGTCTTGAATCACACTTTTTGCATGCCTAGAACTCTGGGTATGATTAAAATAAGTGACTGAGGTGCTGCTGTTCAGAATCTATGTTTGTACCTAAAATTGTTTGCTTCACCTTGCTTTGCTTTGTGTGTTGCTAAGTGTGGCTCATGCCTTTGATGGCGTTAAGTTAATATACCTAAAACCTTGTGAAACTTGTGTCATGCTTGGTGCTACCTTCCTTGCTATCCTAGCATGATAGGTTGTGGGATGTTTAATTAAGTAACATGGAGTGTTTATATATGTTCGGTGTAACCTTGTGCTCCTCTTGAATACTTTTATGTGAGGCATCTCATATTGCCATTCTTCGCATTCATGCACTTGCATTGTTCCATCTCATCTAGGTATGCTAGATGCACCACGTGAAAGACGTGATGTTGGAGCCGAACCCAAAGATGGAGTTTGGTGAATCCATCAAGAAGACGGAAGGACTAAGCAAGTGCCGAGATGGGAGATGCTCACCAAGTGAGTGTCATCTAACAAACACTGACCTAGTGTTGGATCCTAGGCAAGCCCCGGAGCATTCTAACCCTCCTATGTTTTTACAAATATCACTTGAGTCCTTTATGTTTCATGCATTAGGTTATAAGAGTTGATTGGAACCACTAGATGCATAGAACTACCTTGTCCAGAAATATACCTTGAACCCTATGTAGGTCCATGATCGAATGTATGCTTAGCAATGCTTGAACTAGTAGAAGTAAGGTGATTTCCTATCACCTGTGAGATATAGGTGGATACCAAAGCACGGTTGGCTATATTTGCTATTGTGGAAATAACCATGTGTTGATAAATAAAAGGAGACCGGGTGGGATTGTGATAGAGAAGCAACAAGGCATGGAGGTCTTGGTGCCTATTTATCCATGTCTATGTCAGTTAAGGACTGATTCGCTGTACGTCCTCATGTCATGTTGAACGCATGCCTAGCACTTAGTTGGCCAGATAAGTCATTCCGACCGCGAAGCCGAGTAGCTCAACTCTGGCCAAGACCCGGTAAGTGAAAGTGCGCACACTAGAGGAAGTAAGGATGTGCAAGGAGCCAGTGGCATGAGTCCAAGGGTAGGCCAGGCTTGAACTTCCTACTAGACTGGTAGTATCCCTGAGGGTGTGGCACTGCTCGAACCCGCGACTGTACCTAAGTTGTACCAAAGGTGACCTAAGACTACCTTGGTGCAGGTATGTCTGGGTTTGTGTTAGGAATAACTCCCCAGCTGGTTGGAATCGATTTGAGTCACTGTCTCTCCTGGATAGTGAGAACTTGACTAAGCAGCGGCAACGTAGCATTAATTGATGGAATTTGATGGTTATGGTGAATATGGAAATGTTACACCGACTATGGTTACTATTGCATGTTACTAAATGATATTCCGCATGTTTGGCATAGGTTAGTTGCTAATCTAGAGATGAATAGCTATAATTAACTTGGTTACCGAATTATAAAATGTATAGCTCAACTAGTGGCTTTTATGCAAAATTTTGTCAAGCTAGCTCCACCTATAAAGCCTTGCATGATCCTTAGAGTCACTTTATTTCTGGTTTATGACGGGTAAGTCTAGTTGAGTACATTTGAGTACTCAGGGTTTATCCCACCATGTTGCAGATGAAGTTCTCGGCCTGCTGAAGATGGTGGCTAACCGCCGGTGGGCTCGGTGACCCAATATTTATTTCTCATCTATATGCTTTTATCAGAGGAGGTCACTTATGCTAGCAATGTACTTGGAACTTATATTAATGTAATTATTTGAAAGCTATGTTGTTTTCATTTAACCGGTTTTAAAACCCAAACTTTTACTATTATTTGTGAACCCATTTGTAATATTATTTCCACTGCAACTCTATGTATGTGATGTGTATTTGCTTAATCACGTGATCTTTGTTATGATGTTGATTTACCGAGATCCTTCATGACACTCGGCGGACTCCTGGGTTTATATAAGTGAAAGTATGCGCGTGTCAACGTGTTTAACGGGGACAGCCATACTTGATCTTATATAGTGAAGCTTGGTCGGTTTGGCCTTCAAAGACTAGGAAACATCCATGAACCGCCATAGCATGCCGCTATGCATCAGTCGGTGGAAGCTAGGCCCAGATGGCAGCCACTAGGGTGCGGCCGCACCCCTAGTGTGCCCGCACCCTGGTGGGCTTGCCTCATGACCGCCTTCATGTGGTTGTTTCCTGGGTGAGCCTAGGCCCCTTCCACGTTGGTGCTCGGCCCAGATTCAATGTGTAGGTGGGCTTCTTCATTTGTTTCCTTTGCGCATTTCTGCTTTACGCTTTCTTGTTTGCGCCTTTTGCTCAGTTTTGTTTATTTTCCACTTGTATTCGAATGTGTGTCCTGCAAAACATGTTTTCTCCAATACAAGTGGAACTACATCAATAGTACATGCATATGTGTCAAAAGTATGTTTATTTCTCCTATTTTGGACTATAATTAGTTATCGGATGTTGTCGTTAGTGACCACCAACAAGTAATCTTGGAGAAAACAACATGAAGAAACATCAGAGCAAAAACTTTATTGAATACTTGAATATGAAAAGGTACATATCTTTGTATGGAACATTTCAAGGATAGAAACGCCTAAGGAGATCAATGTGCCAGGAGTTTGGGACATCTACTTCATCCATATCGCACAATCTTTAAGACCCTGGTTGGGTGACCGCCTTGATGATGAAGGGGCCCTCCCATGGTGATGAGAGCTTGTGCATGCCGTCTGTCTTCTGCTTCCTATGGAGTACTAAGTCTCTATTGGCACTTCTAAACGCAATCACCAAGTATGGAGTTTTTTAAGTCCATCTGCGGCAATGGCGGTAAAAATGCTTGTTGGCATTTCTTAGCGTAGCTACTAGGTTGTATCACCCGCAACTGCACCAGAAATGTTGGTAGGCAAGACTGAGCGTTGTTAGTAAGTTTTTATCCCAAGCAACGATGCCAAAAGTGCCTTGTTGGTATTTCTTAGCATCATCACTAATGATTAGCAATGCCACTAAGTAATAGCCATGATAGCTCCTTAACAATTTTAGATATTTATCCGCAAGCACACGGAGCTATCATTGTAGCATTTCACCTGGAAGTATTTAGGGTATCATTATTTATATTTTTTCCCAAAGGAAGGCATTTGATTAAGAGTCTAGTATGGATATGAACTTGAATAATAATGCTTGTAAGGACACTAATGTTTATAACAGGGGTAAGAACGGTGATTTCAAGATAGTGGACACACACTTGGCATTCCTCAAAGGATAAAATAGAAAAGAAAGGATAAAAGGATAATCCTAAGTCGAGCAGGCATTGGTCTAGTATAGTCATACAAATATTAGTTAATAATCATACAAGTTACATAATTAGTATTAGGGCTAAGTGTGAAGCAGGTCGGGAGGCCACCGAGTACTGGTCTGCTAGCAACCTCATGTGGCAATTTAGACTCCTACACCCTAGTCGAACATGGGGGATTACAAGAGATGGATAGGGCTGTCACCACCTACCACCTACCCTCAACCGTGGAAAGGGACAATGCATTCACCTGTCTCTCTACACCCAACCACCACGCTTGCGTAAACAGAAACTTCCCAAATCCCCCTAGGTCCCCGACCCTACAGATCGATAGGTAAAGGACTTGGGCACACCTTACGGCATGATGAACTACCACCTCAACTTTGTTCCAATTCTAATTATATAAGTTATATGAGTGTTTAAGCATAAAGTTAAGTGTGCTACTCTCATGACACAGTTCATATATCAAGATCATAACACAACAACTATACTTTAGTTCATAAGTATGACTATAAATGTAATATGAGAGCATGACTTTGGAAGAACTCATATCTCTATTGATACCCAAGAGTCACTTCTTCTAAGGAGCCAAGCTCTCCAAGGTAGCTTTGCCTTGCTCTAAAGCTACTAAAAAGTAAAACTACAACTACTAGAAGGGAGTGAGGTAGTGGTGTGTGAGGTGATGCTCAACGTTGTTTGTTGAGAGAGGGGGGGGGGTACCCCTCTAGTTATACAGGAGATAGGCAGTGCTTGGAGTCTATTCTTGGCACTTCCCTGGCTCCCACCACCATAGCATGGAAGCATGCCACCACCACAGCAACGGGTGGCTGAGCAGCGCCGATAGGGGGTCGGCCACACCTTGACCATGGCCACTCGCCATCGCCTTCATGTGGCAGGCCATGGGCTGGACCAGGATTGCTTCCCCGTGGTGGTTTGCCCTAGTTGCAATGATTTGATAGGCGTCTCCCTTGTTCCTTTGTGCAAATCAGCGTCGGAAAGCGTCTTTCGGTGAATTATTCCATGTATTTGTGTTTGTGACCTGCAAAATAATCTTCTCCAAATACATGTGGAACTTGGTTAATAGTAAATGCATATGTGTTTAAGATTGCTTATTTCTCCTCTTTT